ATCTATGTTATTTTCTAATTATGTGATGAATCAAATATTATATTATCTTATGTGAGATTTTATGTTGTGTAATTAATAATTCCAACATCAAATGACCCCTAAATTAAGAACACAAATAATCATTAGATTGTTAATTTTGCCACCTCCTCTTTTCTAATTATATTGATGAGTATATATATTGTTAGGTGACCCACTATGTGGTCAGTTTTCACTATGTTGATATTCTTGACCAAAATAAATAAAAATAAAAGGCCTTGACCAAAGAAGTGTGTGGGGTCCACCCATTTTGAGGCTTTCATAATTGAAAAATTGAAAATTATCTCTTGGGGGTCCACATGCCACCCAATGGGAATAAGAGTTTAATGCATGTCTCTATTAATTCTATTTTATTAGTAATAATAATAATATAACTCTTCACTATTATTTAACAAAATAAAATATGAGTACTTGATAAATTATATAAATGGCTTGAAAGTACATGAAAATGTAGTATTTTTGAAGAATTTCAAACTTTGAAGCTCAATATAATCAATTTTGAAAAGTAGAATCACCATAAAAATAAGGATATTTTCTTCCTTAATCAAAAGTTTAGAATTTAAACTTTCAATATGAAAAAAACGTTGACAATGAATACTTCACCCTTTAATAGATTTTACAATGTGGAAATTTGAAATAATTGAAATTCATTACAAGTATCAAACATCGAATACGAAAACTTCATTATTTTATGATTTTTTATTTTTTTTATTATTGAAATGAGGAATATAACAGAGACAAATGTAGAAAAATGGGGTGTTTCTCTTATCATTGGTTCTTACAATTTGACTATCTTGTAGATTAGAGATTCTCTGTGTCAGAACCTAAAAAATACACCTTTGTTCTTCACTTATTAATTGCCACTATAAAATTTATTTTATTTTTATATATAATAATTATATATATCTCATTATTGTTAAAAAGTACCTTTAACTTGGTGAAAGGAAGCATCTTATGCAACTAAATGATTCCAAAACCTTGACCAAACACTAAAATGATTGGAGAAAAGAAAAAAGAAAACCCCTTAGAATATTTAACTTCACAATATGTGCTAATTAGATAACTAGATAAGCCTTCTTAATTTTAGTTTTGCATACATAATTACATGCAAATATATTTCCTTGGTTTTTTTTTATTCGTATAGTCATTTCTGAAATCGACATTCACAATGCATTTTTTTCATTCTCAAAAATTCAAACCCGAAACATCTAGTTGAGAACAAAGGAATCCTAATCATTCACCACAACCCATATTAATCATATAAGCATATATGCACACATGACACTTATATGTCTAATCCATACTAAATTTAGATTAACGCTTAAATTTTATTTGGGGTTGAGCAATTAATTTAGATTTCACAAATTAAATAAGCTTATTTTATTAATTCAAGCTAATTAAGGTTCAAGTCATTTGAAGGTCCAAGATTATGTCATGTATTTAGTGACATGATATTTCAAACAAACTCAAAACGAACAAGATGATTTCACATGTTCAAATAATACATCAATCCTCAATTAAATTAAAGACCAATCAAAGGCAGCCAAATCTCCAAAATGACATATTTTATCCAATTATACTACCTTGTCACATAATTCTTGTGATAGAATTGATGAGTAACATGAGCTAACCAAAACCAACAAATAGAGTTCATATGTAATGGGACTACTTACCCCCCAACAACTAAAACTATGGTAATACATAATTTTTATTGTTCATTTGGTGAAGACATTCTCAAGCACATGGACTCGATATCAACAACATAGTTCGAGCTATCAATAGAGTTCTTCTAGAAGATTAATGTGAACCGATATGTTGCTTCAACTTTGAAATCACTAAGAACTCTAGAGAATAGAATCGATGGAATACATAAAATGATACTCACAAAGATTCATCAACAAAATGACTTTTTTTCTTCATATACATCGTATTCTTTTTTTTTTGCAACAAACTTATCATTTTCACGAAACATAAACAACAACCACAAATAAATTATGAGGAAAAAGAGATATTATTAATTAAATTTTGTGAGTACAACTCTATTTTAAATTAATTAGGCAGACATAAATTGTAATTTTTCAAGTGTACTTTCTCAAAGAACTTGACAAAAAATACTTTTTAAAATGAAGTTATTTTTTGAAGTTTCGCCAAACCGACTATAATGTTTCAAAAAGAATCAAGTGAGAAATTGTTGAGTGCCAATTCACATTAATAATGGTTCTGTTTTTCTATTTTTGGTTGGGCTTGTTTGTTCATTGTACGGCTAACTTCAACCCAATGGGCTTCCAGTGGGCTTCTTTATACTCTGTCGTTTTCCTCCATGAATTTTGATTTTAATCCTTGTAAGGTTAAGCAAACTTATACTGCTTAATTACTCATCATAGCTATAGTTTGCTATACTTACCACTCGCGACTAATATTATACATTAATTACGTGGACTGACTTCGAATTTGTATAATTAGCCACGTTTGTATATGTATAATTCGCCAGAATATACAAATACATATGTATAATATACAATTATCTAACCGATATATATATACAATTCATCTCTCTCCCACTCTTTCCCCTCTCTCCTCTCTCTCCCAGTCTCGCTCGCCTCTCTCCTCCCTATAACATGTAGCTACGAATTGTAATTATCAAACTATAGCTATGGAGAGTAATTAGGTTATTTTTGGGTGGCTACATGTGAAAGTTTAGATTTGATACATGTAATTTTCAATTAATTAAAATTTGTGTCTTTTTTTATCTTTATGTTGGAAATACGTGATATCTTCCTCAAATAATGGTGTAACAATGCAAATTTAAAATGATACATCGATAATAGAATGGATTAGCATTTAATAATTCGATAATTTTTTTCTAATTCACAATTCGAGGGATAAAAAGTACATATCTATCGATTAAAAGTTAAATATATAAGCATCAAAATTAGAATTTGTCACCAATGGGTGGGTGTAAGAAGATCCACTTGAGTAAGATTTTAGAGGCCCAATTTCATCAATAATGTGGACCCATTAGCTATAGAGAAGTTTGGACCTATTGATATATGTATAAATTTTAGGACAAATTACTTAACTACACTCCTTTACTTACCTTAACATCCATTTATCCCTACTTATTTCAAAAATTTCAAAAATCCCTTATTTACCTATGTATCCCGCATGTATCACGTGTACAACGCTATGTATCCTGCTATGTGGAATGTATCAAACGCTATGTATCCCGTGCACAACGCTATGTATCCCGCAAACATCATTTTTAAGGGATTTTTTGTAAATAGAAAACTAGAAGGGATATGATGTTATTTAGTACTTATAATATGTGGTTCCTATAATTTATACTAAATTTTATGAATCACATAGTTTTAATATGAAATTACCTCTTTTGAATTTTGATATTGCTTGTAAGCTTTTCTTTTCCCCTTTTAAATTAGTGAAAATCATGTTGTCTTTTGATATTTTTAATAAAGTTGGAGTTAGTGGGATAGAGCGAATTGAAATTACTCTCATCGATACCACTAGATCATAATTCTTTGACGCGGAAAGAGCTTATTTGTTTTAGAAACATGTGAAAAATAATTTTTTGCACTTCAGTATACGTACGAAACAACTAATGCTTTTGAACAATGTTTTTTGTAGTGACATATCCCATATGTGCTCATAGTATTCATTGAAATATCTCCAAAAAAAAAATCACTTTCTTAAATCTTATATATATCAAGTCAAAATCAAACAGATAAACTAAAACAAAAAATACATAAAAAACACACCTCCTAATTAATATGCATACTAAATCATCGAAATTTAATATGAATATCGAATATTGACATATTATCATTGAAATTTGATATGAATATCGGATACCGAATGAGTGAGAAGATGTATAGGAAACAGAAAGTAGCACGCATTGAGAATGTGTCAGAAAAAAAGAATGGAGAATTAGGAGACATTCATTCATTCAAAACAACGTAAGTAATAATTGTCTTTTCACAGTAAAAGTGGGCCGACAAGCAGCACGCCTCAGCCGGCACTACACTATGCGCCCCTACAAACTAAACTTACTGTTTTCAATAACTCATAATGTTTTTTTTTTACTCCACGTCTTAAATTATTAATCGTGGTTTTTAAAAAATAAAATTTTGAATTTATTTGTTTTTTTTTTTGAAATTTAAAATAATCGTGATTAAACTGTATTATTAATTTTTGTACAGTTTTTTGCCAACAAAAATGTTTTTCACTGTTTAAGAATATAACATTGATTCCCAAAAGAATGTTTGTTCTCGTGAGCTTTTGTGTGGGAACTAAAATCGCATGCTGTCTACCTAGATTCTTTAACATTTGCTACTTAAAAATTTTAACAAAAATATAAAAGAAAAGTGTTAAATAGCCAAAAAATTTAGTTAGAATTTGGACAGAAAATTAAAAGAAATTATAATATATTTTTTTATTTTAAAATAAACTGATGTTTTTTTTTCATTTTTTAGTTAAAATGTATTAAGGTTTAAAGGGTAAAAATGTTTTAAAAGGTAAAATAACATAGATAAAATATCATTCTGGCCAAATACTGGCCAAATTTTCTGGCCAAAAAGATTTTTCCAATATAAAAAATAATTCAGACTTGCATTTGTGATATTTTTAAAAATTTAAGCTTTTAAATAAGATGATTCTTACACATCCATTAGAGCGCTTTAACATATCGAGTTGATTGGGATAAAAAAAGTCCTTTGTAATTGATGGAGATTTGATAAGTTAAAAGAGTTTACGTTTTATAGATGGTTAGTGTAAACAATATCCACACCATTAGTGTATTATAATCTTTAATTTTTCAGTAAGGATGGGATCATATTATAATCATTGAAATAAATGAATTATATAAACTCACACATGATTTGAGGTACATAACAAACTTTTCAACAATGAAACATATAACAAATGGCAAGATTTAATTATCTCCTTGCAGATCATCAATCATAGTTATATTAAGTGAAACGATTACTTACATTATTTGTTATTGAACAAAACCCTAACTAGTTACTAGTACAGGCAAACACAAATCATGTCACGTTCACACAAAAGTATCAATGACTGATTTAATAACTTTATTACTCTTCGTCTTTTGGACCTTCCACTAGTACCTCATGACTGATTTCACAGATCGAACTGGTAACCTATAATTCCCATAATTAAAGAAGGTACAATTTAAAGTTGCTCCAAAGCTCCAATATTTCAACAAAGCATGCATGGAAAAGTTATACATATACCCTAGTAATTCCTTGTTCCTTGACCTAATACTCTTCGTCTTTTACCTCGTTCACTAGTACCATAACTCGAACGTTGAACTATAGACCTCAAAGCATCTCTCAAGAACAACAACGACGATTCATCATGATCAGTATTGTTATTATTACTCTCCTTATGATCAACAGCTAATACAATCACATTACGAATTCTCCCTCCTAACGTGACCATTTCAGCTCTTATAGGACTCAATCCGAGTGATTTTAGGGTTTCGATTAGGTCAGGGATGAGATCGGATCGATCCTCGCAACAAAGAGAGGCCTTAATGAGTAATCTTCCATCAGCTAAACAATCATTTGATGATAACACACTGATTTCATCAGTTTCAGAAGGGAATAATAAGTTTGTTTCACTTTGCATAATTTGTGAAGTTTGTTCTTTGAGTTCCCTCACACGTTGAACGACTTTCGCTAGTAATGAAGCTTTATCTAACTGTAAAACCAAAAAAAAAATGAGTTTAAGTTATATACATAGATAAGGACGATGTAAAAGATATTAATGCAAATAATTTTATTGAAAAGTCAATAATATGTTATAACAAATTAAGTTATATCGATCATATAAAAATTCATTATACTGAGTACTGAGAATAAGGGTAAAACAAAAAAGGCATTAAAAAAGAAAGAAAGTAAGAACAAAAGAAAAATGTCATTTTATTGTTTTTTTGGTGGAAAAAGTGAAACTACTTTCCCAATATATCTAATTTATGTACTTTAATTTAGACCTAGCTAGAAGCAAGTTTGAATATCCTTTTTGAAGTGTTCTTGTAAATAAGAATCTCAAATATTAAAATTTTTAAATAAAAAGAAGCATAAGAAAACACTTATAATCATGGTTTTATTATTCTTCATAATAACCACAAATCTTGAGATGTAGACTTAATTCGAAATTAAATTAAATGTATAGAATCAAAGGAAACTATTGTAAAGGAATAAACTTATTTATAACATGTAGTAATTACTTTAGCATAAAAACTATTGCCCCAAAAAATAAATAAAATGAAGCTAAAACAAGCTTCTTCTTCTTTTTTGAAATATATCAAATATATAAGTAGATAAATTTATTTACTTTTTCTGACTTTAAAAAAAAAAAAATCATGTTTCATTCAATCTTCCACCAAATTTAGTACAGTAATAAAAAAGAAGAGGAAATAGACATTAAGAATTAAGAATAGAAATTAGCAATGGGCACAACTTAATAATTATGTGGCTAAGCAGAAAAATCTATAGTTGTCAATTAACTCTATTCAATAATCAATTAGTATTAATTAAGTATCAAATAATCTTGTTACATATATGCATACAAGTTAATTTAACAACAAATTAACGATGAATTTCATAACGATAAAAACTTACCTTAGAATTGCAAGAAAGTAGGGTTCTGAGGCTATGAAGATGAGAATTAATCCTTTCTCTTCTTCTTCTTTCAGCTTCTTTATGATTCTTAGCTCTAGCTTCTGGACTATTATTATTATTATTATTACTCTCTATAGTTTCTTGAAATTCCACATGATGATCATGAGGGTAAAATGGGGAAGAGCTACAAAAACTTTTAATAGCTTCAATATCAAAACCATAATAATCTCCCATCATATTATTATCACTTGATGATGATTTATTTTTGGAGAAATAATTGCAAGATTCCAAGTTTTCTTGAAAGTCTTGTTGTTGTTGCATGTTGAGGGGTTTGTGTTTGTCTTCTAAAGAGAGAGCTTTTTGGGGGTGGGAATTTTAGAGTATAGTGGAAATGATTGGATAAGAAATATGATCATGTATTCTAGGGTTTTCATAAGACTTTTCTTCTTTTAGAGCTCGAAGCCCAATTTTAAATTTATGAGTTCTGAATATAATTATTTTTTATATAAATTATTTATTATTTTCAAATACAATTACAAAGGTTTGTATAAAAATTACTAGGTGATAGGTTCTGTTGAATCGCGAGTAGAAAAAACTTGTGATTGATATTCTATCAATCTTATGTATCAAAATATTTTTAAACTCGTGATTTTTTTAAAATGTCATATGAAATATTGAAATTAAGAAGTATATTAAATATATAAGTAATATTTTTTAAAATTAGATTAAAAAAAATAATGCACATAAATTGAGATTGAAAGAAAATATCTTTTTGGTTGTTTGTTCTTTTAGGTTGAGATGTGGTCACATGAAATGATGATATGAAAGCCACGCGGTTTTTTATTTTATTTGAAAAGATTACTTTTTTATCTTTTTTAGTTTGACCAACAAAGAGATAAAGACTCCTTGCATGATTAACCAAAGAAGTGTGCAATTTTATTTGGGAAAGTTTAGATTCAACTTAAATTGTAAAAAAAATGAGTTGATTTCTATGTATCGGTGGTGTGGGAAGATATATTTTATATAATAGACAATTGCATGTAAAATTTCTTGATAATTTAGTAAGAATTGTAGGTAAATCTTGCAATCTCACATGTTAAAGTTTACTACAAAAGAAAATCTTTGTATTGTTAATGTACCTAATTTGTATTCTATTTTGTTTGAAATTTGTTTGTTCTATTGTCTAGAACATTTTAATTTCGGATGAAAACTTATCAAGTCAAGTAACTCAAAAATATCCAAACGTCTTATATACAATGGACTTCAGATGGAATATTTCATATAAACTACATATATTGTAAGCAATAAATTTGTTTGTGCGAACAATGTATATCAAAGGGGATGAGTATACGTCTGAAGTTAGTAATTTAGACACATATATTTTCAACTTCTAAGTCTAAAGTTGATTTTAAATAAGTTAAACATACAAAAATTAATATATTTGACTATTGACTTAAAACTCTAATCCTCAAATTGGCTATTTTGTGTACTTGTCCCTTATTCTAACTACTATTCGGCTATTTTGTGTACTTGTCCCTCAAAATTGGCTATTTTTAACAACAAGCTTCAATTTGGGCCTTTAAACTTGGGCCTGAATCCCATAGCCCTATCCCCAGCAGCCCCCAAACCCCCCACCCCCCAAAAAAGAAAATGATCCAATGTATGTCACGTGACACTGATTCGTCAATTTTTTTTTACTAAATATGTATATATATTATTAAAAAGCAGAAGCAAATAATGAATACATCATGTAAGTAACACCCCTTGAACCAAAGTTGGGCACAGTTTGGTTGGTTTAGCGATGGAATTTCACAAAGGTGAAACATAACTGACGAAAAATTGTGCGTACGCGATCGATTATATATCTAAGTTAATGTGGACTATGTTTTCTAGTCTTAGTGGCAGACAAAATTTAAACATTTTAATAGAATTTTGTCACAAATAAAAGCTTTACTAGTTAATTAAATCTTAATATTGATAATAATAATAGTAATTATAAAGAAAGAAAAAAGCTTCAAAAGGTGCAGAATGACTTAGTGGCGCATGTGGTATGAATAGTTTAATTATAAGTAGTTAAGTACAAATATTTTTTTTATTTTTTTTATCTAAACAAGCTGGAATAATCATTTTGTTCACTAAACATTATCATGTCGAGTAAATTAATTTCAGTGTAGTACTTTAGATCCATTATAATTATTGCCAAAAAGAAAGGTTTCAATTTGTAATTAGCAACTATTGGATGCCACTTAGAATTAACTAACAAATATATAGTACTAAAAATGTTCCCTTTTTTTCTTTCTTTATTTTCGTTTTTCATCGTATCCGCAATGAAATCCAATAAAATCTGAATTCATGCCTAATAAAAGATCGAGCACCCCCTAGATCCATACATGTTCATGCATTGCAGTGCCCATTTATATATAGGGTTATTTTCAATATGATTTGCTTTTCATTCACGTAGGCTCAAATTGAAGATCTCTTGAGATCAGGATGGAGAAATCACAATCATCCACAATAATCCAACACACATTAATATTTTTGTGAATATTATATATATATAATATATAGTTGTTTAATATGATGTCACTTTTTCAAATAATAAGTATTGCATGTAGTTTATGCCGGATATGCTGAGATGCTTTACCTGAAAACGTGGGGTGCCTTTTGATTAATTGAAATGATGGGTGATATCTTTTGTCTATATATTTTTTATTTATTACACGTCATGAGTATTTTTTCATTTTCATAAATTTTCGACGGTCTATCGAAAACAAGTCCTTTAATCTCCACAAGGTAATGATAATATTTATGTGTACTCTGCCCTCTCCGAATTCCACTTTATGGAATTTCTCTGGATATGATATTGTTATTAGGAAAGTGCTAAATGACCAGAAAATTTGGTCAGAAAATTAAAAAAATTATAATATTTTTTTTATTTTAAAATAAATTGATATTTTTTCCATTTTTTAGTTAAAAGGTATTAAAGTTAAAAGGGTAAAAATGTTTAAAAATATAAAATAACATAGATAAAATATCATTCTGACCAAATTCTGACCAAAAAGATTTTTCCTTGTCATTATTATTTAAATTTTACCAATAGCTAAAAAAAATAGTTACTCAATTAACTTGAAGATGATCCTCTCACTTATGTAACATCATAAGCATAGTTCTGATTCGGAAATTAGAAATCCGCAGTTGCCTCTTTAACCATCTTATTAAGGGTGGGATGACTTTTTCCGAGAATATCTTAAATAGGTACTTGGACCAAGCCAAGCGAGAGAACACTAGTCAATGCCTACCCTATCTTAGAGTGCTTCGTGCTAGGCATGATTGGGTCTAAGACCCTAGGAAGGGGGGAGACTAGTCTCATTACTTCTCACTTAGAAAGAGGTGCACATAATCTACCGACTACCTATTCATTCATCAATTGCGGTGTTCAACTGAGTTAAACTAATAGACCTCTATTGTATCATATTCAAGCATCCATCCTTTTATTGTTATCAATCAATGTCTTCTATGTTCGATACTACCCTATATTATAACATTTTTGTGAATGTTATTTTCATCCAAGTGGTCTTATTCTTTACTCCTTAGTGACATAAATTTAAATCCAAGGTGAACAATATCACTAATAATAGAAAATATTGTTACTACTAAGTATTACTTTTAAACCCTAGTTGCAAGTTGTTGGGGGCAGAGTTGTTAAACTTTATTACAAGCAATTAGTGCTACAAAAATAATTATTTGTACTGTCAAAAAGTAATAGAAGTTGTTCACTTGCTCTGCAAACTTATGGAACAATAAGAGGCAGATATAAACAACCAAAAGAGAATTAAATGCACATGAGATTTCTTTCTGTTTCTTCAAGTTATGTACAAATAATAGCAGTAAATTCAAAACAAAGAGCCTCCAAAATTTATTTATTTTCTGAGAAAATCTTTTAACTCTAGATTCACTAGGACTGGAACAGTATACAAAGTGGAGATAAATAATTATGACAACATAAACTGTATAAGTTTTTCTATTAAAGATTTAGTATTCGAAATTTATTGATCTAACTAGCTCAACTAGTCTACTCAAAAGGATAAATTATCAAAAGGTTCTATCTTGTTCATTTGCCCTATTATTTAGTTACTTTTAACTTGGACCTAGTTTACATCCACTTAATTCTTTTTCACACCAAACAAACATATAAAGCACACCAAACACTTACAAAGTGTGCATAATTTTTTTTCTTTTCACTTTTATAAGAACACAATAACCATGAGAAAGAAAAAAGCAGCCCATTTTCACACATAAATTGTGTTTAATTAAGGTTAGAAAGTACTAAGTAGTAGTAGCTTTTTGAAAGCTTCAAAAGAAAAGGTACTCCTAAAAGACAATAAACATCTACATAATATATAGAAAAAATAAACATCACTTTCTTCATTGAAAAGAAGCAAAAGACATGTAGGCCTAGGATAGCACAAAAGTTCAAAAAGGTAAAGAGAGGACAAAGAGACAACAAAAGAATTTTCCACTAAAAATCCTCTATTGGTTGTTCCCAACAATTGACCATTCACAATTCCACTTTGCTTTCATTTTTGTCTCCTTTTTCTGAGAAATTCATATTCTGTTAGTAGCAAAAAAGACCATATGCCAAAAGGGTCTTTAGTTTTTTTCCTTTACAAAAAACTTCAGCAGCTTGGTTCTTCAACATCAGCTTCAAAGTCCCAGCAAAATGTAGTACACCAAAGTTATAGGAAGAGCTACTAACATCCCAAATATAACCCTGCAATAATTATTAAAAAAATGATTTAGTGTATATTAAAAATCCAAAATACCATACAACATTTTATAGTTGATAGGCAAGATTCTTGAGTTACATTCAACAAGAACCTCAAAAGTTTTAGTATTTCAAGAATGATTTTTATTCACATTTCATGATAAATGCATGATGTGTGTTTTGAGGCCTCACCCTGTGCTCAATATATCAGGATGGACGCCGTATTCCTTCGCAAAGACGAATGGAACAATTCCCTGAGGTAGAGCTGCCTGAAAAATGAATTTAAAGCAAATTTGTCAGTTATATAAGTGGCAATAAAAGCATGTTTATGTATCGTTATGAAGTTATCGTTTACCTGAACGATAGCAATATGCAAAAGGACACCTCGAAGTCCGACTGCAATGGAGGCAGCAGCCATAACTGCAGGACCAGTAAGGAATCTCACACCCATTGAGAAGAGAGCAATTGTTTTCCCACAAGCAATGATTCTAGGCGACAATGCCATGAACAAACCTGTCGTTCCATTATGAAAATCAGTTTAAAACACTAACATTCTCGCATAAGAACAAAGGGAATTTCGTGTGAAGATTATCTAGTTGTTATATCAGACATACCAAGACTAAACATTGCCATTCCGAGACCAG